AATATAGAAGGTTAAGTTTTAATGCTCTGGGGTGTCCAGGTAATACCCTGAAGGGGGGGTGGGTAGAGTGTTTCTCTCAAATTGTATCAAGTAGAAATACATTTTTCAGGATAAATAAGTTTTCTTGTCATAGGAATTTGGTCTCTAGGTTTTTCATATCTTTCAACCAAGATAAGACCTGGAGTAGTTTGGGGAAGAAGTAGTCAAAGACCTTTTTTTTTGTTTATTTTTAAATGAGGTAGCTTTTTAAAAAGAAGTCAGTCACACTAAGCTAATTAGTGAATATCTTCTTTAACTGAAATGTATTTATCCAGTCCTGTTTTCTTCCCCTTCCCTGATGTAGTCCTAAGCTCTTTATTGTGAAATTTCACATTAAAATAATTTTTTTCTAAAGGCTGTATAATTTTTTTAGAAAGCCCTTATCTTGTACTCAGGCTATCATCACTTGGCCTTTTAAACTGTGGAAGGGTTGATTCAGTAACTCAGTTGTATTTTTAACACATTCAATCATAGTTTTGGGGCTTTGCTCAAGAGAGTCTACCACTTTTGCCATATGTAGGAGTGATGCATTCATAAACTAGCGGGGTTGCTCTGTACAAAAGCAGCATTTAAAACCTTAACATTTTCTTCCGAAGTCAAGTAACTTACAAAAAGCTTTTGAGCTTATTTGAACTTGATGTATCCTCCGGCACTTTCAGAGATGCCCCTGTGTCCATACACTCCTGATCCCTTCCAAGCCTCCCACTGCCCAAGGGATGCATCCCCTTTTTAGCTCTCCTACTTTCCAGGAGGGGTTTCTCACTTGGGTGCTCTCTCTCCCAGAGGAGCTGCAAGGTGAAACACTGTCCTAATATGACACTTTGTAAAGGTTGGTGGTAGAGTATATTTAAGTAGCTTGATTTTTTTCACTGAGAATGAAAAAATGTTAACTACTTCCTACAGTTTAATCCTGCTATGCTTTGAAATATTATTTATGTATTTAAAGTAAAGTGAAAGATACTTAAATAGTTCATCCCCATTTTTTTTTAATCAGAACAAGCTAGTTTTGCTGTGACTACAGCATTTCCACAGAAGTGAGTTACCTTTGGTGAAATAGGGAGCAATGGATATTACCAGGTCTTGTGAACTGTATTTTAAACACAAGCTGTTTTAAAGAAAAGCTGATTTCAATAACCATTAATTCTAAGTAAGTGCCCAAATTTTCTGAAGCTAGGTCCAATACCAACAAGGGGAATATTCTAATAAGTCTTTCAGGGCTGAAGACTGCTATCAGATTGTTATGCAGGTGTGATGAGTTAGTTTAGAGGAGACAATTATGCCTTTTGTCATAAATAGAGGGCAGGTACTGTATTTCCTTCAGTAATTTTAATATATGAAGAAAAATAAACAAAACAACCCCACAACTGTCCCCAGTGCACTTGAACATTTTAAAATAACAGAAGTTTCAGCACAATTTCTTTCAATTCTTGAAGGTCCAACTACGCTGTAATAAGAAGAAAACTGATACACTGAAATTGCATTAAGGTTATATCCAGATATTTAGCTCTTAAATCACATCTCCAAAAATATTACCATGATCAGGTACTATTCAGTCTTCCACAGTCCTTTCAGAATGGCATAAATTATTTAATTCCACTTTTCTCCCCTCTCACCATCACGGTAAAGATTATTTTAAATCTGTGCATAAAGAAAATTGAATCATGATGTATTATTTTTTGCATTTTTACATCTTCACAAAAAATTTTGTGATATCACAGCCATACTTTGTAGCTAAAGAACGCCTCTTCATCTGACTTCTTTCTTTAGCTTGTTTTGCAGTTCTCTGCAAAAGAGAAAAGTGCATCTGTTCAGTAAGTATTAAGTAAGTTACTAGGCAACAGTATTTTGTAGAGAAAACATTGGCTCTCAGGTTAAACTTTTTCAATCTAATTTTGCAGTAGACAACACACAAAAATGCAGATGCATTCATTAGTGTGACACATTCTTAATCCTGCTTAGACTTGTATCCTCATGGTACCTCCCATCGCTACTACTCTGAGCCAGGGGTCCCTTCTGCCCCAGGCTCTTCTGTGCTTGTAAGCATGGGAGCGCCCAGGAGTCGCTGTGATGCCCCTTGCACAATGTTTCCTTGGGAGGAGATGAGGAACGTCTGATGATACCAACCTCTTTGTGGCAGACGGTGCACAGAGTTTGAAGGTTTTCCAGGGAGCACTGTCCTCCTCCACTATAAACTGGTTTGATATGATCCACCTGCCAAAACTGGCCTTCTGTTGGGTTTGTTATAATTTCATTCAACTGCAAGAAACAAAGGGCACGATAGCAGAAGTGTTAAATAACCCATCTGAACTACACATGCTCTACAGTAAGATCAAGGGGGGAAAAAAAAAAAAAAAACAGGGAAGTAGCTATGAAGAAAAATAAGTTAGCTTTTTCTTGTTATTTCCAGTGGACAACATAGAACTGTAATTCCGGTTGCACATTTTCACCTAGACTGCAACATGCTGAGGCACATAACGGTGGATCAAGACAAGGTGCACGCTAATGTGTTCCTTACCAAGGAAAAGAGGAGAGGTTCCGTTTGTCTTGACAGCTGGTGAGCTTCTTAGGCAGTGAAGTTATAATTACATCCCTTATTTTATCCATTAGTTTAATACGGTGTTTTTTGCTTCTGTCTGTATATTGGCAATTATGCTTTTTTTTTTTTAATTATTATTCTTGAGGAATCTTCTGACACCTTTCTCTTTTATGGATGAAAAATGTGTTACCAAGACACTTAACATTTTCTTTGTTTTTCCTTTTCCTTATTCTGTTGGTGCAGGCTAAAATCTTCCATTTTAAACATTTCTGATTCCTTTGGTAGCTAATGGTTTGCATTTCACAAAGAAACAACATTTACTATAGGCCTACACCAAGTGGTTATACCTTACAAGCCAGTATTATTACCTGCCCTAGGGGAAGGTGAGACATCCAAGAACTCTCCAGCAGTTTCTTCCGTTGACTCTTTGGCGCATCCCTGATGCTGAGATAAAGCTCCTGGGCGTTCTGATTGCAAAACTGGCAAATGCCACGTTCAATTTCAAACACTCTAGTCCTCAGGTAGCTCTGACTAGAGCGAATGGAGAAGTCCTCCTGGCACGTGTGGGAACAGAACCGTGTGTCCCAAGCTGGGGCCGGGCAGTCCTGCCCCTGCTGAACCGTTGGCAGCTGGCAGCTGAGACAGAGTGGGGTCCCTTGGCTGTCCAGTGCCTGCAAATAGCCCTTGGGGAGGGAGGAAGTATTTTCTTCAGCCTTATTTGAATGAAGAACTGAGGGAGCTTTTCCATTTTCTACAACCAACCTGTTCAAAGAAAAGAGTACAGCTACTAATAAAGCACAAATTCAGTGATACAATTCAGTAGCTTTCATGCATTTTTAAACAGATTTTTTTTCTTTTAAAATACCCTTTTCAATAGAAAAAGAATATCCTCCACAGTACAGTCTATTTATATTCCATTTCAGACAAAATTTGACAGTGAGAGAGGTTTTTCTTTTGGATAGTTTATTGCATTTATATAATGAATTATTGGCCAAAATAATACTCTTATTTTTACAGAAATGGTAGTTTCTATCAGCTATGCATACAAATAAATGTAAAATATTTCAGCCACTCCTTTAACAGAAGTAAAAAGTCAAAGAAATTTCCTGTTTTGTTATGGCAACTTCTATGGCTATCCATCAACTCCCTACTATAGGGTAACATGAATATGTCTAGAGTATGAATAGAGTAACAATGCAATCACTGTATTAGATTAATAAACTTACTTTGGGGAAGGACCTGTTTGTTCAACAGATGCATCTTTATTCTTCAGACATCCTCTACTTTCTTTGGAGATGAGGCGAACGCTGCCCCCGCTGCTGTTAGCTTTGCTAAGGGAGGCTGCTGCAACATCCTCCTTGGTCACATACCTAAAAATTCATAATCCTTTCAATATACTTGGTATTGTACTACAAAAACAACAATCTCGGAGAATATCCACAATCATCTACAGCAAGACTGATAGTGCATAACCCTTTGAAATATTCCTAGTTTCCATGTGGCATATGAATAAAGTTTGAAAACATGTGCTTCTCTTCCACTTTACGTAACATACCTTTTCCAGAAACAGCTTCAGCTCTATTCAGCACATAGTTTGCTTTACATAAACCATAATTAAAAATGTGAAAATGATTTGATATTGTTTGAAATCTGGAAACCATTTTGTTTCATTTAGATATAGTATCACTGACATTCCAGATAATATGGAAAACTTTAAAAGCTCTGGAGAACTCCTTGCTCTGTTTATTTTTGAACTCGCTTCTTTATTTTATTGTGAAATCATAGAAAACACCAGAGCTCTTAAAATTTCTTCATTCTGGTCATTCTTCAAAACACTGCTATTCAGGCAACTTCTCATTAATACAGCTTCCCTGTATCACAGTGGATGCTAAACCCTAGTTTATATACATATATATAGGCATATAGCTTTTTATTTATATATGCATATGTGTGTGTGTGTGTGTATATAGGTATATAGTTAGATTTTTCTTGTGAAAACAAACCATCACGCATCAGAATAAGAAACACTATTGAATTTCCTGTTATTTGTCCTTCTCACATTACCACAAGTACAAGCACTGCTATAAATTTACTTGAAATCTTATCTACCGCAAAATATGTCAAGTCTAGACAATATAATAAGTAGGGGTTCAGAAAAAAAAAAGAGATTTTAGTTTGCAGAAGTGCCTTGGCGAGTAAGTCTGTATGCATGTGAAGATTTGTTAGGAGCAGTGACAACACTGAAGATGCTAATATACATCAGGGAAAAGAGTGCCATTACCAGAGAAAAGAAGTGGGAAGAAAGCTAAAATTAGATCTTAAGAAGAATTAACACAAATTTCAGTGACACCCACCAAGGAAAACAATGGTGTTGAGAAATGTCATCCATTGAAGACAGAAAAAAAAGTAAAGTAAAAAATGAGTATGACAGAGTTGGAATAGACTGAATTTTGAAGAAAATATTGTGGCATTGATGGCAACTAGTAACTTATATCTACTTGCAGGCATGGAAATAAAAGATGATATATTTTGACCTTAAATTTCTTTTCAACTAAAAGTTAAATAAAACACATGAAGCTTCTTACAGCAGTTAGTAAAAAGTAGAAATGAAAACCATACCTTTTTGTGCTGCTAACCACTGACTGCTTTTTAGACACCTCTTCTGCAGCAAGAATTGGACTATAAAATATCTGACCACTTTTTCTGACAATTTTCTGTTTCATTGCTGTTAGATGACTCCATTCTTTCACAAATCTCAGTATCTAGTAGAGAATACTATTGTCAGCAACATAAAAGATATTAAACTGAAATACTTAAATACAGGGGGACTTCTGCCTTCTTAATATGTCTTTTCAGTCTTACAAATAGCTGTGATTTCCCTCCCCTCCCCTTTTTTTTTTTTCATTTTTGGGTGACATCTATGCTTCGCAAAAGTGGGGGTTCTATCATTCTGGTATCTGTCTCATGAATCTGAGTGCAAGTCTTGCTAGAGAACCTACTAAAATAATCACTTTTGTTTCTATTCGATATAATTTGGTTTTCCAAGTTAAGTTTCTGTCATTTAAAAAGAAATGTAAGAAAACTATTCTAAACAGCTAACACTGCACAGATTATTAAAAATCTGGATTACTTTGAGTCCTTGGTTTGACAGTGTTAATGTTTGCTTTAAATGCTATTATGGATGTAATTTTATTAGAGAAATATAGGAAGCTACATGTTTCAGTGTACTTGTGCCCTACAAAAGTAGGAACATTCTGTCAAAATTGTAACTGTAACTGATGCAAACTAGCACATTTTTCTTCACAATGTGCCATATTTAATTCATAACCTTTAAAATGCTATTTTGTTGACTTACAAATGCTAGTTACTAATCCTGTAGATGAGAAATTAAGTGATGCCTAGTTGATTCCATCTACAAAAACATTAACAGGATGTATGGTAATTTGCCAAAGCAACAGACTGCATAGTTAATATTCTCATCAACATTTGTAAGATCTATTTGCATTGATGAAATTATACCTAGATCCCAAGCCCTGAAAGTATTCTGCATTTATTTTAAAGAAGAAAAAGCATTGCAAAGTATTATTATATTATTGCCACAATAAAATTTGTTCTTACCAATGATCTATTTCTTTTTTGCTGGAAAGCCTCTGGTAAATCTTCCCAGTTATCCAACTGTATGTCCAATGGAATGAAGTTATGATTCAGTGGTTCACCATCCTGGACAGGGAAATAGTTTTGTTTGCAAATGCAATGTAGTACAAAATGGGGGAAAACACCAATACATTTTTCAAATGGATTACTCTCCCTTACAGCTAAATTTGGGCCCCCAAGTTAAGATGTCTCAGAAACAGCAATTTGCTACAAATGCATGATAATCCCACAAATACATGTATTTTTTCAGTATTACCTTTGTATAGAGGTGAATTCTATCAGTATTCCTGCTTGCACAGAACATAAGCCCATCATATACTGGAAACATATCTGATTTATCTGCATCTTCTATAAAGAAAAATAAAATTGAATACATATATATATATATATATAAAATCTTAAGTCTAACATTTTGGTGGAGATTTGATAGTACTTAGCTTAGTAAGAACATGATCCCAATATAGATATATTCATCATGAAGTTATACTTAATTATCTGCTATCAGAGACCTTAGTTTTCCCTTCATTCATTCCATTCAGTTTATTAAGATGCTAAAAGTAATATCACACTCATCTTTTATCTCTGAAACTTCTCTGTTTCTGTGCACATCCAAAACCATTTTTGTACGAACATTGTAAAATTATTTTTCTTCCTTTTTTTCCCAGAAATATATAAACATGATGCTCTGTTTCTGTATCTATTTCCAGAACAACATGACATCACAAAATTCACAACTCGAGCAGTAAGATGTCAAGATATTTTTCCATTTTACTTTACCATTTTTCTTGAATTAACTGTTGTCCATTTTGCCCGCAGCTGTCCTGGACAGAATTTAATAGCATAAGCTTCAGTAAGATTATACATTTTAACTTAAGATTCAGAGTACCTAATTTGATAGCTTTTCATACACCAACCAAAAACTTTACAGGAGTGACAACTCAGAAGTTGTACAAAAAGGCTGGGTTCAGCCCTCTTGAAAATTCAATGCATCTTAAGCTAAAAATAAAAGACATGGTTTAGCTTATATACGTCTGTCTTTTAAATGTGTACTCCTTGTTAAAAACGTTATTGTTTACATCAGCAGCATTTATTATGGTTTTATGGATATTATGAGTCATATTATATGCAAGTCCCACTTTACCTTCTTCACCCTTCTTTTCACTTCCATTTTCAGTTTCAATAGCTTTCAGTTCACTGATCTTGTCAGACTGCTGGGTCATTATTTCCACAACACCTCTTTTTCCGTCTTCTTCACTGCACGCTGCTTTCTCTCCACTTGTTTCAGAGTCCTTTGATACATCATCTTCCATGTGGCTAGCAGAAGATTCATGGTTTCTCTTAACTACAGAGAGAAAAAGCAAGAAAAGTAATCATTTAGGCTTCCTGTAAAAACAGAATCAATATACAAAATGTATATTTTATATGCATTTATATACATATATATTTATATACAATATTATGTAATTGAAAATATATGTAATCACATTTTATAGCATTATTATGGAACAATCCCTTACGAGTCCAAACAAATTAGACTATTTCAAGCTAAAATTCAATCCATTCATGTTTTAGCTATGTTGAAATAGCAGTTTCTAACTCTCTTTATTACTATTTAAAAATAAAAGAAAACTATATGGCATACTATTGTACAAATGCCAATATTTACTCAAGAAAAGTATGCATAAGTTTTCCTTCTTCCTCCCACAGATTCAGAATAAACATTAAGTATTACTGTTCACAGAATTTATATCCTTTTAATATTCATCTGATTTTTCCATTTGTACCAATTTAGCATATGTAAAAAAGCCTAAGAGAAAGCAAAATAAAGAATTAACAAAAACAGATCATTTAACAGGTATCTGCTCACACCAAGGTACCAGTCTTTTCATCATTTGGCCAGATCTATGAATACGTAAGCATTTAAAAAAAAACTACAGTCTCTGAAGCAAATAATAAATGAATATGCATGGTTCTCTGTGCAGCACAGGTCACTTACCATGACTGCTTTGAGGGCAATTGCACATTTCACAGTAAGGGAGTAATTCATTATTACTGTAAGTGCAAACATCACAGTGCCAAACTTTAGATAAAGCCATGCTTTTACATGAAGGATTTAAGCCACAAGGAAGGGCTTGATTGTTTTTCTCTGTAAACAAAGTGGTTTTTTTTGAAGCCAAAGAATTTTTCTTGCTGCACCTGACTGGAGTAGATCCACTTATGCTTCTTGATCTTTTAGCGTCAGGTTCATCAGTTTGTTTATGACAAATTGAATCCACATCACTCATCTCTGTGCAGTCCAGGTTTTCACTGCTCTTCTCTGCATCCTCTTTTGTGACTTCAAGTGAATCTGAAGCTAGATTTAAAGGTTCATTGCAAGAAAATATTTTGCGTTTCTTTTCAGTGGAGGATTTTGGAGAAAAGAAGGAACGTATGTCATGCTGTCTTTCCTTTTCAAACTAGGAAAGAGGGAAAAAATGTAAATCTTATTTATAATTACAGCATCAGAATCTGTTAAAATCATAGTAGCTTTTCTCTATTATTAATAATTTCTATTAAATTTTGTTAAAACAAAAATTGTTTTGTTAAAACTTGTTTTGTTAAAACAAGTGACAACTTCTTCTAGCTCATGTAAAAAATAGTCTCAAAATTCTCAACAAAATTCTGAAACAGCACTATCAGAGGACAAATACATAAAACTGGCATGCTGATGATGTCCCTTAAAAGAAAAGTCTTTAAACTGTAATAAAACTGTAACGTTTTAAAATGGCATTATTTTTTCACTCCTTCACTGTCTCTCTGGTAGCAAAGTATGCAGTATACACACAGGGAATAATTGAACAAGTTAGATTTTTTTTTCTTAATAAAAGAACATTGAAAAAACATAAGCTTTGAGTCTTACATGTGTAAATAAAAGCTCATTTCTGAAATCTTCTAGACTTTCATTTGGGGTCCAGGTTTCAGCAAAACTCAAAAAATCCCATTTGTCCTTATCACCTTCTTCAGCCTGCATTTTTTCTTTCTTGCCATTCAAGGTGCTTCCTGTAACTTTGGCCTGCAGAAAGAAAACCTGCATAAAGTTTCTGAAGAATTAATATATTGGAACTAAGTTTGGTGACTAAATCTACTCAGTTTGCTTCTCTTGCGAATTCATTTCAGCCTTTGTAAAGTGAGAAATTCAAGAGGAAATCAAAGTAATTACTCCGGTATTTGGCAATTCTAGATGCATCAGTCTGTCTAATGCTAGGACAGTGCTCTAGAAAAGCAAAATGTTATTTGGTGTTTGCACATAGTGAGTTCTGGATTATTTGGGGTCTATTCCACCACACGTACCTTACGATTCAGCATGGCCCACATAAGAGGATCCAGTGTTCCTTTTGCAATAAGGAAGTGAACGTTTACAGAACTGCACTGTCCAATTCGATGTGCTCTATCTTCTGCTTGCTTAATGTGGCCTGGATCCCAATATAATTCGGCAAATACAACATGAGTAGCAGCAGTAAAAGTTAAACCCTAAATAAAATTAGCAAGTAGAGATATTTTAGAAAAGAAAAAAAAAAGATTCTACACACAAACAACTGAATATCGAAAGCGTCTGTAAAAACACTTTTTTATGGATAAAAGATGCTGTAATGATTACTATGTTGAGCTTCAGGTAGATGTTAATAAGATTCAGAAAATGCCAGATACTCTGCAAATGCTGTGCGTTGCTTTTCATCGTGGAAGGAACATCTGTTTCTTATTAATCAGGTATTTTTAGAGCAATAGAGTTTTGCTGATTAGTCCAATATGAGACGCTGCCTTTTATCTTCATTTTCCTTAACTTCATGGAGGCTCAAAAGTTTATACTGTTAGTGTAAAAAAATGAATAAATGAGTCTGGAAAAGTTGCCTCATGCGTACCGCCTTTAGTACATATCTTCAGTCACCAAGTCACTGTAATATTTATACTCTTCAAGTTTATTATTTTACATATTTCCCTTTTTAACCCACCTGACCAGCTGCCTGAATACTCAAAATAGCAACTCGGGTGTCAGGATCCTTCTGAAACTGATTAACAAGGTGTATTCTTTCAGCAGAAGGAACACTTCCATCTATTCGTATGTAGCGAGCCTACAAAGTTAGAGACATCCCCATCAATTTTTGGGCACACTCACTCATACTTCCCAATTCCACTCCTTCAACCCAACTCACAGTACAGAAACATTTATTCTATTTCTGTTATGGAGACAGAAGCAAATCATACACCCTTTGGATTATATCTAGAGAAATGCTCAGTAGTAGTATTCTCTCTTAAGGAAAGGGGAACATGGGCTCTTAAAATGGTACACTTTGCAGAAGAAAAATATAACTAACAGAAGTTATTAAAATTCTTTAATTATGAGCATTTGCAAAATATTAGCTTACTATTACAAAAGAAAAGAAAAGTCTCTGTTCCCTAGGAAAGGTTGATGGGCCTTGGTCAACAATATGGAGGTAGTTTGCAGGTACATTTACTCTTTGAATTAAACGTACAAGCAAGATGATGGCATTCTGCAAAACTAAGAAAGGAAAGAGAACTTGGGTGACAAAAAGAGAAATTGGTGGGCAACTTGGGAAACAACCAACTACAATACCTATTCAAGAATAATACATCATAATAGATGAGCGTTTCTTTCTGAAATATAAAACAGTTCTGCAAATCCAATACAGCTGACTTGTACTTCTAAAGCTCAATATTAAAGCTGAGGATACAAATATTAAACCATTACCTTACTTTCTATAGCAGCCTCTGTACAGGCTTGAAGCATGTTTAAGTGGTGAGCAAAAACTAGAAATTTTAATTTGTCATTTTCAAGCATCATTTTGATATAGTCCTTTACTGCTCCTGCCTATAGGATAAGAAGATGAGTCTTTATTAGGCATACAAAATGTTCAAAAAGACAGTTTTGAAGAATTGACATTCTTCTATCTCCTGTAATATGAAAAGGTAGATGGGTCAATTTTTTTTTTTTTTTATCCATTTCAAGACATTACTGAACACTAATATTCGTAACTTTACAATTATTCAAATTCAAACAGTAACACTGGTAAGTATACAATTATTCAAATTCATTTCTAAATAATACTATAAGTTTATGTCTTAACAGAGACACCTATCCCATTCTTTTAGAGAAAAAAAATGAGTCATTTTTTCCAGGATTAAGCTGTAAATAAGAACATTTTAATTAAAAATGCCTTATCTGACATTATAAGTCACATAAGAAAAGAGAAAAAGGATTTCTGCCCATTAACATATTTTTAAATGGATAACGTAAGATTTAATTAGAACTTCTGTATCTCTCTCCCTAAAGAGGCATACCAAAACCGAAAGAATAATCTAGTTGCTTCCACAATACTTTAGTTACAAAAAACTGCTCTATTTAAAGATTTGTTAAATTATTTTGTTTGAAATAATAGTTTTTAAAGAAGATGTTGAAAATATTAAAATAACAATGATATGTTCCTAAGCCTGGGAGATGCATTCAGTACAATCAGGAGACTATGCCTGGACACTCTCAGTCCACTTTGTGGATATAGAATCAGCAACAGCTTTCACACTTAGCACTGGGAGTCAGTCTAGGTCATGAACATACAAGTAAACCAACAGGGTTTCCCCATATTGCAAATATAAAACAAACCAACCAACCTCATCTAATATTCAGGTCAATAAAATCAATTGCATCTAAGTTAAAATATATGGAGCATTTTCAATATATTAACAGAAGGCTCCCAGGCTTACCTTGGCAATGGCTGTTTCTTTATACATGCGTGTGATTAGACTCATGACCTCAACAAAGTGGCTTTCAGTGGCATCTGAATTCAGACCTCTCATTAACTTCTCCCACTGTGCAAAAGTTGTATTCAAATCCTAATTGGGAGAAAAGATCAGTGATCCTTCCGAATAGAAGCCCAACCATCTGGCATATTAGCCTCTTTTCCCAGTTTTATTGGATCAGTTTGCTTGCTAAGAGTGCATTCACCCTGTCATCTAAGCCATTGATGAAGATATTAAACAGTACTGACCTCAGCATTGACATCTAGGGGACACCACTAGTGACTGGCCAGATGGATTAGAGCTGCTTCTCTCAGGCCACCAGGTCAGCCTATTTTCTATCACCTTTCTAATCACTTACCTAACTCATAGTTCATTAGCTTGTCAACACACCTACAATACATATATACCACACATGAACACAGACACATGACTAGAAAAATGTGTTTCTAGAAAAAGTGAAAAAATTACCTTAGCTGCAGCTTGTGGAAGGTCAAATGGAATACGCTGCCTAACTTTGGGAGGCAGCTGAGTTAAAACATCATTCTTCAGTCTTCTGATCATTATTTCCCTTAAAAGTTGATGCAGTTCCTCTAAATTTGAAGCTCCTCTACAATCCCACTGAGCTCTTTTACCAAAAAATCTGAAAATGAAAAATAAACACTGAAGGTAAAAAACTCTCTCTTCCTAACTCTTCAATAGAAACCTTCAGTATATCATTTTAAAACATGCTGTTAGATATGAAGGTGTGCTGGATAGTGACTTTCAGAGTTTCTGGTTACACCAGAGACACAATTGTTTTCTGTCTGATTGCTTCCAATACTAAAGTCTTAGAGCTATTTAAGTAAATACCCACAGGCCTGACTTCAGTCACATGCATACAGTCTTTTATCTCATCATATCCATACTTCCCTTTCTACAGGAAGTAGTATCATTTTAAAACTCACATCACTGGAACGTCATGTTAAACTGAAGGCAGAGCTCACAGGGAACTAAAGACATTACTCAAAGGTATTATAGCTTTATATTAAAAAGAGATTGATAAAACTAGTAATGAAAAAAAATACAATAATGAAAATGTTCATCATTATATTACAGAAGAGAACAAGTAATACAGGAATGGGAACTACAAATATTAATACTCCTTTTCTCTCTCCCCCTAATCTCAACACCCAAGAATTTCCTCTTTGCGGCTGGGACAGTTTTTTAATGGCTAAACTAAAACCGGCAAAATGTGGTGAAACTGGCTAAATGTACCAGTTTCAAATGCACTAGTATTTGATGAGCAAGGTTAAATAGGGAAAATAGTTTCAAGTTAAAAGGAGATTAAAGGTTAAAAGGAAAAAGGAATTATCAAATTAGTTTTCATTTTCCTTTCTTCTCCCAGCTTTGTTTTGTTTTTAAGTTCAAACAAAATAACTTGCCTGACACATTCCACTGGCTCTGCAGAAAAGTTCAGGTTGCATCTTTGAGAACAGGAGAGTACGTTGCAAGCATTTAATTTTATAGTGTTAAAAATACTAAAGAAATATATTACTTAAATAATCAGTCTGGCAGGCAGCTGGGGTACTGAATTGGTAAAGCACTGTCGTAATACACTGTGAATATTGTATGTACACAGGACAGGCACATCACCTGCTCAGGTCACCTATTCTTGGGCCTGTCTACTGGTCCTTAGAAAGGTCCCTCCTTTGAGCATTTTTTATGGATGCAAATGGTGCTGCAATAAATAGCCCTATCAAGTTTATTACCACAGGATGTTTTGTTTCAGGCAAGTCATGAAGACAAAGTTATTTACTGGGAGCTTGCCAAACCTTGAACTTGATTTTTATTACATTTATGGTATTCCAAAAATAAGATAATCATCTATAATTGAGTTGCTAACTTTGATGTACCCACGCACACTTGAGGTGTGAAAAATACAGGTGTGTTCAGTCAAAATACCATGGAAAAATAGCATTTCTCTGTCTGAAAACTAGTTAGCACTGCTCCATGTAATCTGAATTTGAATACTAATAAAATGCATATGACAAAATAAAAGCATGTATGAAAATTAATCACTAATGTAAAAAGTAAATCTAGTTGCTAGCTAATTTTCCTGGCAAAACCTAACATTTTGAATATACATGAAATTGCAGCTAAGAGATGTCAACAATGCTCTTCTCCCAATTTCTTTTGTTCTAGACTGTGTTACTCTGTTGCACAGATAAAGTTTTAAATCAAAACTTCCTAGCTCCCCTCTGTTTCAGAGTACATCTAGAGGAAATGATCACTAAACTAAATTTGAGATAATCAATTCAGAAGTCCTCATTAAATTAATAATTTTAAAATATAAAATATGAAAAAACAAAATAAAAGCATGTATGAAAATTAATCACTAATGTAAAAAGTAAATCTACTTGCTAGCTAATTTTCCTGGCAAAACCTAACATTTTGAATATACATGAAATTGCAGCTAAGAGATTTCAACAATGCTCTTCTCCCAATTTCTTTTGTTCTAGACTGCCTAGCTCCCCTCTGTTTCAGGGTACATCTAGAGGAAATGATCACTAAACTAAATTTGAGATAATCAATTCAGAAGGAAATAAGTCCTCATTAAATTAATAATTTTAACATATAAAATATGAAAATGCACAAAAGATGCAAAGAGTAAAATGAGTTTAAAAGTCATTAAGTATGCATGTGAAAAGCATAATGAGCAATTTTACCTAGGAAAAGAGAAGGTAGGGGACAAGAATTTATAATCCTACATTCATTCCCTTAAACTAAACTACAACTACACTCCTCTACTTTTAAGAGTTTTATACTTGTATATACTTTTATCCAAATAATCTGTAAAATAAGGAGATGAGTAGTATTTTTGTTTTCTTTCAAGTATGATTGGATAGTAGAGAATGGACCCTGTAGTAAATATAGTAAGAAAAAATAGGTAAGTGATTACATGATATGGGCATAGGGCTGGGAATCAGAAACTTCTCTTCTAGTGGAGCCTCCACTTCAGCTACAAAAAGTAACACCTATACACTTCACACTAATGACATTAAATTGACACATAACTTTATGCAACAGAAGGCTGCTACTTGAACTTTTTCTCAAACTCTAATAGCTTCCAATTGTTCACTTGAGGATTAAAGAGACTGGAAACTTTGCACTCCTAAACAGTTCTAGAAACTCTGGCAACAAATGCTGCGAAGTTATCTTCTGTGCTTATGCAGGATGCTTCTTACAAGTGGTGCTTTTCCTCTGCAAGGCCCTTATGATCTTTAATGGAAAGAGTCTCTGACCCTGCATTTCTAAGCATGATAAAAGGATTAGAGGTAAGCATTAGTACCTCTTAGTAACAGAGGTACTAAATAATTTTCTTACTTGACATAAGAGAAAGAAAGAAAGAAAAAAAAATAGAAGGAAAATAGAAGGGCATGTAAAACAATACCTGACACGAGCATTGCAGTATTTTTTGGCATATTCACTCCAAGTTCCAAATCTCCTTGGAAAAAGTGCCTCAATCTGCATGAAAAGCTGTATAAGAAAAGAGAAGCAACAGTGACAGATTGTCTTTAAATATAAACTACTCAGAAACTATTATCACTAGTTACATGATTATTTTGTTAAGCTTGCATTCATCAATTTTTAAGAAAACAAACACCTCAGTGTGCACACAATGGACTTAAATGACAGAATTCATGTGTCCCGAGATGGGACAGCTGTGCGAAGCCCTCAAGGAGCAGGATACCCTGGACAGCAGTATACAGTGCCAAAGACATGGAAAAGACTAAAACTGAAGGAGATAACACAGATGAGATGTTCTTCCTAAAAATATTTGTCATCTCCCAGGTACACTTCTGCAAACTTTCAAAGCAGGTATTTTGTGAATACCATTCTTCCAGAACACAAGACATCTACTCATTCTTACATTTTATTTCAAAAAATAGTGTCATTACAAACAAATTTCATGCCTTTCATTCAGTTGAGTAACAGCAGGTAACAGTGCAGAGTGAATACCATTCTTCCAGAACACAAGAGATCTACTCATTCTTACGTTTTATTTCAAAAAATAAACAGTGCCATTACAAACAAATTTCATGCCTTCCATTCAGTTGAGTAACAGGAGGTAACAGTGCAGCCAAACTTAACAAGACTGCTTACAAGCTGTATTACTGTCAAAGCTTTCTGAGCTTAGAGATCACAATTAGATCCAAGATAAATTGTCAGGGGGCAGTAGAAAGGACAGAGGCAGCAGTAAGTCAGAAGGCCCTCCTAATTTTATTTCCCTGCTGTCCTCTAAAATGTACCACACATCATTTTTGTCATTGAAGATTTCATAAGACCTAACTGCATTGTAGAGACCTTTCCCCAGACAAAAATTACTACAGGCAAATTTTGTCCTTCACAGGCTTATTTCAATACAGAGGTTAGAGAAATGAAGAGGAATATTAAGAAAAAAAAAGTTGTGAAATGTTGCTATTCTCTCAGAAGTTTGTGCCAAGCAAGAAATGTTCCTGTAATTATTTGCTATAAATGAATATAAACATAAATAATGATTTGCAGTATTCATGCATTATTTTCACACTATTGCACATTCCGTTTGAAGACTTCAAAAAAAGATTCCACTTACATTATGAGTGATTAATGATTTGTTTTTTTACACTTTACTCTGTAAGCTTTATCATATACATGTATATACTAATGCATTGTTTTATGCCCGAATATATACAACTATACATATTCAAAGAAATTATAAAACTGTTCATTCATTACCAACCCTAAGAGGAGCATAATATTTCTTATACCTCTTCAGGTCTTCCTAGAGCAGGAGTTCCAGTAAGAAGAATCGCTCTAACAGCTTTCTGCACAATTGGCAACAAAATCTTGCTGCGGGTAGCATTTCTGGATTTCATGTAGTGTGATTCATCAATCACAACCACCCTAAAGTTTTGCCTGGACAAAGCGTCTACTAAAGTCTGTGCATCACTAGTTAACAAGCCATATCCCAGAATTGTCACTTTGCTGGTTGGTATTCTCCTTAAAAGAGAAAGTAGAGATGTTCTGTTAGTGATTTTTTTATACTAGGATTAAAAACAAAAGGAAAAGATAGGTTAATATAGCAAAGAAATTATAAAAAAATTGCAATTTTTATTAAGAGGATATGAAGATACATTTTGTACTGGTTAATTCACATCTGCTGTCAAGCCTAGTAATAACACAGAGTTTTCATATTTTCAACTTCCTAGCAACTGATAGTTAAATAAATCATGCATATTTCTCAGGCATTCTCAGAAGACACAGCTTGCATTTATAAGCAAGGTCTGAAATTTTATTTGGTTGTCTTGGTTCAATTTGTGTTTTTCTAGGAATATGAGATGAGACAAAAACACATGCTAGACAAAACAGTACACAATAGAACCAAATCATTTTGAACACAATTTGTAAACTGCTGAAAAACTTGAAGTAATATCTCTATTCAAGCTACCTACGTAAAGCTAGCTTTGTTGCCAGGCAATCACCTTAACAGCAGCCTGAAAGAGCTACCTGGCCTGTCTTTTGGATGTTGGTTATCGTGAAAACTGCCTAAGCTGACCCTCATCATCTGAGAAACTTAGTACACAAGCTGTCTATCCAGCTTTTTGCCCTAACAGTATGCAGAGAAAACAAACAAAAAATAAAATGCAGGGAATCAGGAGGCTCAAGACAAAAATACGGGTATTTAGGTGGAAAAGAACTTCCTACATTAAATTCAAGGATATATTCAGGTCCAAGGCACCAAATGATTTTGAAATCACTAGAGAGCACTGTGGTCCTTCAGGAGTCTCTAAGCAACAACGAATTCTTCAAAACTGTTAGACAGATTACCAGAACAAGAGTCACAGCTGATTAACTCATCTGTCAGACAGTAATGCTCTCTAATATTTATTTGTTCCCTGGTAGTAACAGAAGTACACTAAGCTGAAGTCTTCTTTGCAGAAGAAAACCTCTTTCAGAAGAAGAAAGTATGTGCACATGTCCAATTCAGCCTGGGTATGTGGGAGAAAAGGCACTGGTTTGTGCACCGTCACTACGAACAGGGACAGTAGTGGTAGGTAGATAAATGCAGCAACCAGCGAAAAAGACTTTCCCCTATTTCTCTGCAGAGGATTGAGAAAAACAACAACACAGTACTTCTAAAATAAAACTACTTATTTTCAGCTGAATCAGTTTATTAAAAAATATCAAATTTCAAATGCAGTTAGAAGATTTGACAAACCAGATTCATGGCTAAGTATATTTTAACCTATTTGAACTAACCAATAAGTTAAAACACAACATTCAAGCAGTAAATTTCATTATTGAAGTTACTTCCTTATTTTACAGTATGCTCCAGAAGTTCTCCAAAAAACAGGTTCAAAATGTTTTGCAGAAACTAATGAACATAAGGTAGTTCATTAAAGTTGACAAATAACTATGTGTTCAATTTGAGATAGCTTTGAAGGAATCTAATTTTCAATAGACAAGCACATGCTTTTTTGTAAAAATTGGACCCCCAGTTTCGAAGGAGATAAATATCACAAGACCAGCTCTCACCTGAAAGATCAGTAACTTAAATGAAAAATCTTTTATTAGGTCTCTTGGATGCAGACTGTCTGAATCCTAATTTCTCATTTTAGCCATAAACGATACTGTACATTTATCACATACATACTCTGATCAGTTCACTGAATGAAACAAGACTTTATGCAGAAGAATGAAGAACTTTACTCACCCAGTATCAGTTTTATTCTGAATAATGCTAATATCATCTGGAGAGAGTTCTGGTATCCACTTCTCCAACTCATCAACCCAAGGATATCTCAAAGATGAAGGTACTACAATTAATAGAGGCCATTCCTTTATATAGTAATAGGAAATGGCAATTGCTTGAATTGTTTTACCTAATCCCATCTGGGAAAAGAAAGCAAAACAAAATAAAGTTAAAAAATAAGTCTATGGTCAGAAATCGCATTCTAATCAGAAAGGTCAAAAATATCCTGAAAGACAAAATCAGATAAATGGAAAATCAAACCAAACCAACTGGAGAAATACTTGTATGTATTTAACAGGAAATTGTTATTACTAAGCTTCATACTTTCAGGGTAGGAACTCTCTTATTCAGTGAATAACATATATAGATAGCACATATGAATTCTATGACCCCGAATTCAAAAAGCAAAGAAAAAAATATTTGATTAATTCTTGATGCAATGAGTCATGTACAACCTGAATAGGTGGCTGCAGTGAGGAAGATGGAAAAACAAAAGATGATATGTAGGAGGATACTGGTTCAAGCAATTGAGTGGAAAAGACAGACAAAATGAAGGTCTTCTAGCTGCAGTGGATCCATAAGTTAGGTCCCATGAAACCAATCACCAGTCTAGATAGCAAGACAGGTGAGAGACTGGGGGCGTGGGGAGAGTATTTTATTTATTTAAACACTTCCTTCTCAGGCCTGGAAGTGACTAAAGTGGAAAAAATGGGAGATTTGGGGGAAAATGAAAGGTAGTATCTACCCTGCTCTAGGAAAGAAAAGTAATTTTTAGAATTTTAGATTTACAGAAGGTTCTAAGTTATGCTTCAGTCTGAACAACAACAACAAAGTAGTAGCTTATGACCAATATGCTACATAATACAGGTGTATATACAGTATTTGTAATAAAGTCCATCTTTCATATGTAATGCTTCCTTTTGTATACACATTCACCATATTAATGCTTTCTTTTATCAATATTTTCTTCTTATTTTAGTGATATATCCACAGGTGCAAAAGACACACTACATAATCTTTCCTCTACTGCCAGGTCTATTAACAGTATGATTTAAATATAACTTTATTTCAGAATAAATATATCCTGCAGAATTTTTTACTGCTGATTAACTATACAGAGCATGTTTTCTTTTTCAAGGTAGGGAATTTTAAGAAAAAAAAAAGTTTTAATGAACAAAGAACTATTGAAGATATTTCAATTTTTCCCAAGCTTCCCTTCCCCTCTCCCCTAAATGCTTTTGTTTTCTTCAGTTTCCAGAAATTTCACATTCTATTCTTATGCCTAATTGTTATAAGATTTTTATACCATGAGATATTTATTCTCAATAATATCTCTCTCCCCCTCCCTTCTTCCTTCTCTCTCTCCCTCCAGTGTTTGAAGAAACTTGCTCAAATTACATTGGGAGACTACACCAAACTCCAAACGTTACCTCTTCATCAGTGAAGTTTTGTACTGATGATACATGAAGAAAATTATACTCTATTACAAAAATGTTTCAGCTATGGGAATAAATGATGAACTAAAATTACCCTAATATGAAATGTATTATTACTTCTCAAGCCTGTTAAAGACAAATTTCTCTAGTAGTGGTCAGTACATTTAAGAAAACTCATCTTTGGAAGACATATCTGTTGAAAACCTATTTTCTTGGTCCACAGATATTTCTTAATCCATTAAAAATATCTACCTGTATAATTATAAAAGATCTAAAAATTAAAATAACTTCATATCAGATTTCACATGTAGGAGATATAACCTACCTAAATACAAATAAAATAACCTATGAAGGTTTTTTGTAGGCTGTTTTAAGCTTATGTCAGGTTTCATATTTTTTTCCCCACATGGAAAAATCAGAATATCTACTGATCAGAAAATCAGAACATCTAGTGATTATCACAGAAATTAGGAGTCTTTCATTGCTGACCTTCTGGCCCACAGCACTCGGATAAAAAAAAAGTCATAATTGAATAACATGCGTCAAAATAACAAGAATAGTGTTAAAAGAACAGGAACATCACTTACCTCATCAGCAATCATACACCTGAATAAGAAACAAAAACATAAGAAAAAAATCAGCAGAAATTATTAATACAATAGATAAACCAATACTTACAAATAGTTTGCTAAAGACCTGGGTTATGAAGATACTGAATTAATGAAAAGGAAAAGAAAAAAAAAAAAAAAAGGTAGATTTCATTCCACACACAGTATCTTTGAAATCAACTAAAATGTAATTTTGATATCAAAATAAATATGGCAATTATTCTAAAAACACTCAATTTGTTAGTATTAATGAAGAACTTATACTCAGTATGTTAAAATCTTATGAGACAGTTTCAATGGAAGAAGCACACCTTCAATTTTATTGTCTTTCAAAAATGGTTAAATGATATTTTTGCAGATTTGTGATTAAGAACAGTTTATACAGCAGGATGATTTTTAAAACAGCTCCTTTCTGCATCTCTCTTTGTTTTGAAATAAAATTGGTTCTCCCCTCCACCATATAAACTGTACTAGCTAGCATGTTGAAAAAAAAGTTAATTTTCTATTTTGAAATCATTTAAATAATATTACTTTATATAAAGACAATAATGACTCCAAGTTCACAGTCAAAACTAGAAAATCTTGTTCAGTCTAGCTATATTTTCTAAACATCAGGTACTACCTCTGATATAAATTCCTGACAAGTATTTTAGGTTATGCCTTCCTATGTACATTCTAGCTTGGACAGGGTCTAGCTACGCTTCTGAGGCCTCTGGCACACACAAACTTCCTGAAGTCTTTGAGACTGGAAGATGAATAAAGGGAATTACTTGTCTACTAAAGTTCTGCTTTTCTCCTGTAGCCACCCCAGGCAACATGTAACTGATTTACCAAGTACTTACTGATGAGAATCAATAATGGAAGTGCCAAAGCAAGGTCTGGGGCAGGTATTAAATATGGATTCCTGCATCTTTGTAAGAATTGTCAGAGAAGTGTCATTCCTCATGGGCTTCAATTAAAAGAACCCTCCAACTCTAAAGTAAACTGGAAAGTTTTTAAAGCACTGTAGACTTTCCCAAGTTTTCCAAAAATTGCAAAGGGGAAAAATAACTCCCACCATCTGGTATTATAGTGCCCCACACAGGATATGGGTTTAATCAAAACATTCAGAAACACAGTCCTGACTGCCACTACTTGAACTAACCGATAGCAGTAATTAAGCTCTAAGCAGTCAATCTCTTCAGCCAAGGCTTTATAAATGTTTTCTGACAGAAAAGCAACAAGTCTCAGAAATTCTCAGACGTACTGGAAGGGAATAAGTTTCCCAGGGAACCATTCCTCTTATTTCCCCCTCTAAATTCAAGGACCTTTTTGGTGTGTGCTTTTAATTTCTAACTGTGGTTGGTTTCAGTAATGGCACAAGCTAGCCTTGCTGCGTTCCTGCGGAAAGTTTCTTTTTATGGTGTGTTCGCAGCCACTGTATCTTCGCAAGGGGACTGATACTTCTCTTACCCCACTGCCACATAACTATACACACACCCATTGCGACCTGTAACCCAAATGCAGATGTTCCTTCCCTGAAATAATGGAAAAGTTCTTCCAGATGTGCATATCTAGAATAAAATTTAACATGCCAAGAAAACATAATGCTTTTACATTGTGATACTGAAAACCTTGCAAGTAATACTGACCAGCATTTTTAGCGTCAGGTACTCTGAAATTAGTATATCTACAAGAAAATTGACAGAGTTTTTTTTCTTTTCTTTCTCTAATAATTAATGACCCCAGCAGCACTATCAATTTTAACTGACATAGTGCCCAATAATACTCATCTCCTCCAGTGACCAGAATGGAAATTTTCAGTCATCAAAACAGCATTCTCAGCAGAAAATACAGACTGGAACTTTTCAGACATGACTTGCATGATGTTTGATATTCTTAGGAATATGGCATACTGTTATTTGCTGGCCATTCAATCTGACAGTGTATATTTCAACATGTTAATCTTTCTTTCAACCATCTAACATTAAAAAAAAAAAAATACAACCCAAGTTCTCTCTCTCTCTTTTTTTTTTTTTATAAACTATCTACTTGTAACAGTTTTGGAATGTCTATCCGTCTGTCTCCTGCATTTTAAATAGGGCATATTTGTTGTTTTTGATGTTTTCATTTCAAACATGGCAGAGATGCATGGATGAAAACAAAGAAGAATACACAATAAAACAAAAAGTCCTCCAAATCACAACAGGCAGTGAGGGAGAGAGGAAGGAGAATTATTTTTAGCGGTAACTCATGACTGTGGAGCAATGATGTCTGTAGTTTGCAGGTGAGCAAAGACATTTATTTGCAGACAACTAATACATAACTGCAATTTTAAAATGTTAGTTTTATTAACTTGAAAGACTTATTTTTTCCCACTTGATATGCACTGTTCAGTTTTACAGAATAAGCCTTCCTCTTTGCAGATTCTTTTGAAGGCTATCTGTTTTCAGTACATAAATCACGTTTTTGAAAAGACAGCTTGAAGCCTGAAGTCAATGGTAATGTTTATCAATGCTATTCTGCTGTGTTTTTTTTTTTTCTTCAGACTCACCACGCAAAAGCAGAAGATGAGTATGACCATAGCAACCAGCTATAGACCAGAGGCATCTCAAGAATAAACTGAAGATATTCTTCGGCTATACAATATTTTTAAATCTAAGGAATATCAGAGGAACTATACAAATACAGCAAAAAACAAAAGTATAGTGCATCTGGTAATAAGAACTAGCATCTGGTAATAAGAAAACATGGTAATGAGAATAGGAATACAAGTGCTCCTTGCCAATTTGTGCTGACAAATATAGCAATTCTAAACATACCAAGCTATATCTTACTGTAATTTAATAAATAATGCAATATTAATAATGCCACCTTAGGTATAGGCATTTTCTATATATTTTCAATAAATCTACGTTATCAACAGTCACAAATCCTAAGAAATCAAAGTGAGGGTACATAAGATTCTACTATATTGTTCTTTGGTGAAGAGGAACCAATCTTCAGTCTTTTAAAATAATACACTAAAATGAATTCACAGTGATTTACAAATTGCTTTCCCAATTACAAGCTGAACAGCAATTAAAATAAGAAACCATAGAAATACTTCAACCACAGGAGCAGATGTCTGTCTCTAAAACAATATTTTTTGTATTAAACTGTAGCCACTTTAACAACAACACTATCTGCAGAATAAGATGCTGTGATTTACTTTAACTCATTCTCAGACTATGCACACAGAATGTTGCTACATATCTTCTGTTTTTGTGCCTATTATCTTTCAGTTAAACAGTCCAAAGTGAAGTACTGGGGACAAAATTGCTGGCCTTTAAGTGTTTATAGAAACTTAGCATTTTGTTGCTGGCAGACAGAAGGAAACACAAAATAATTGTCATCATTTATCTGTAACACAACCACTCCTCAAAGGTATCCATGATAAAGAGATTAATACAGTTTACCTTCAGTGGCTCTACAGTACCAGAATAAACAGAGATTTCACAATAACATCTATGTGCTTAAAATAGTTTTATGATTACAGACCACAGCAAGTAGAATTCTCATCAACATTCTAAACTTTAGTGTAATCAGAGATATAAAGCTGCTAGCCACACATTTTGCAGATTATTCACTAATTAATTCAGATTTTGTAAAGTATGGATCTATTCACATCTTTCTGAAAAAGAATAACTGTCCACAGTGTTATTTCAAAAATAATAATTTACCCACATCCTGGACATTAATATTTTTAACCAAACAGCATTATCATCTATATTTTCTGAATATAACAACTACTAAGTTTTTTTTTTAATTAATAGAAACATACTTTGTTCCCCATCCCCAGTGCTAACAATAATGGACACTGATCCAGTATGTAAATATGCTCTGCCCAAACTTCAAGGTGGAATCTCCTACATTATATGATGAAGTCTAGATTTTGTTTTTAGTAATCATTCTCCTAGATTCTCATGAGTCTACTGACATCCCCAGCTGTGATTCCAACACTCAGAACTGGCTAATTAGAAAGAATTGGATCTCGTACACTACTTCCTGCTAAGTGGACATTGGTAATTTCCCCCCCAGTCTCCAGTTTATAACAGAACGCCTCCCCTATCATTATAGCTAAGAACACACAGAACTCAAGACAGCCAATAAATACGTTTTTAAAAAGCAAGACTTGACATTTTGCTTTACATAATCTTTAAAAATATTCCACCTCTATTTAAAGCAAAATTCAGTATGTTCTATATTATTCAGTCAGACAAGTTGCCAACATGAAAGTAAAGGTTCCATGATGTCAAGGCAGGAGAAATAGATCTTCAGGTATACTTGAAGGGACAAATAGGTATTTTTACTTCACGTATTTTGACTGCAAGAAGACAGACTTCTTCCCTGAATCTGTTCAATTAGTCATTTCCTCTCAACTGGTAGTTACTCAACTTGAGCTTCATCACATATATTCCATCTGTTCATATGACACCTTAATAATAGTTCTATCCAAGAATATAAATCAGAGCTATGAGACTCAGTTTCATATCCTGTTATAAACTCAGCCCACATGGTCAAAAGTTTCAGAGAGGCAGGAAGAATCATTTTAGGCATCCCACTTACCCTCAGCAGCAGAGTTCAATATACAAAGAGCATCACAGTCAATGAAAATTCTTTCAGCTTCTTTCCAATTTCATTCTAGAGGTTTCCCTTCTTCAGAGTGAATTTTGTGACTAACATTTGAATCTCTGTCCATTTATCAAGGAAAACAGCTATTTTTTTCCCCAGCAGAAATTATCAGAATCTCAGTGGGATACATTGCATACGCTGCTACACTTTTCCTGGTATTCACAATCCTTTTGCAAATTGCAGTGCTAGCAACAGACTTCGGGTACAGCAATTCCTTTCATCAGTAGGAGGGAACCATGCTGCCTGATTTTCACTTGGATTTAGAGAACTTCTCATTTGAATATGTATTTCTCTGTTTAAGCTTGAAAGCACTGTTTCAAGTGAATATGCATACAGAGAAGAAAA